CGCAAATAGACTGGAATGTTCACTACGCAAAGAGTAATTTTGAGCCATTTGGAATGATTATTTTAAAACACGAAAGTTGTTTGTTTGAATCTTCGTAATTGTCGAAGTTACATTTCTGAATGGATTTTGGCGCTACATTTTAAACAAACAATAATCCTGTTAATCAATGGTTACATTGCATTTATTTTCACCATTAAGACAGAGTAGGAAAATATTTATGACGTTTTTTATAGTTTTGTTGTCAGTTGTAACGTTTTTTCATAAGTGGATAATACTACTTAACCTTTATATTTAAAATACAGCCGCATATTTTAGATATACAATATTTGCTTACTATAATTCATGTTATTTATGCAACACCCCTTTTTGTTATGTGTGAGAACGTACTGGACCTTACTGATATTATTTTAATTTCAATATAAATACACATAGAAACTCACCTCCTTCTGAGATTACCAGAGGAAACCCGGGGAAGAGGGTCGGTTGAACTGAAAAGTACGAACAAATATAACTCTACAGATAAGCAGTAAACTAAATTTATAAACCATATTTGTCTAGAGTTATGAAGAAATGTCAAGTCAAATGAATAGAATGAGTTTCTAGCATATCTTTAATGGATAGAATGAGTGGCTAGCATATTTTTAATGGATAGAATGATTGGCTAGCATATTTTTAATAGATATAATGAGTGACTAGCATATTTTCAATGAATAGAATGGATTTCTACTATATTTTTAATGAATAGAATGAGTGGCTAGCATATTTTTAATGAATAGAATGAGTTGCTAGCATATCTTTAATGGATAGAATGAGTGGCTAGCATATTTTTAATGGATAGAATGAGTGGCTAGTATATTTTTAATGGATAGTATGAGTGACTAGCATATTTTCAATGAATAGAATGGATTTCTAGTATATTTTCAATGAATAGAATGAGTTTCTAGCATATTTTTAATGGATATAATGAGTGACTAGCATATTTTCAATGAATAGAATGGATTTCTAGTATATTTTCAATGAATAGAATGAGTTTCTAGCATATTTTTAATGAATAGAATGAGTTGCTAGCATATCTTTAATGGATAGAATGAGTGGCTAGCATATTTTTAATGAATAGAATGGATTTCTAGTATATTTTTAATGAATAGAATGAGTTTCTAGCATATTTTCAATGAATAGAATGAGTTTCTAGCATATTTTTAAAGAATATAATGAGTTGCTAGCATATCTTTAATGGATAGAATGAGTGGC